ATTGCCGATATTGTATTATACTACTAATGCTCCTCCTCATGTGTCTTTTTGACTTGAGCTATCGTTTGCGCACCGATCTTTGGGATGCTTTCATTTCATTTCAATATGGATGGTAGGCTATCCGGCGACATTTTTTTATTATAAAATTAATAAATAGAGCCAAATAGTGGAAACTGCCCATTATAAAACGGATAATTTCGGTCCTTGATTCTGATTGGTTGAGCCGCGTACAAAGCCGTTGTAAATTACTCAACAAACACACAACACACACCTGTGACCGCATTACATTATTAGGCTACTGCACAACTCTTTGGAAGTACATTGCTTGGCGGAGGAATAAATGTGTTATAATGGTACATTTTTTGTATCTGGTGTTTATTTTATGAATAAAATAAATATTAAAAATGAATATTTTCATGGAGTTCCCGTTTTATAAAAGGGTCCAAAACATGCGCATTGGAGTGCCCATTGGTTTTAGGCACTCCGCTCCACGTCGTGCCTAACAACGCCCCTTAGCTGTTATAAATTCACTGTAAAACACGGCTTCAAGGGGCTTATTGCTTTATGTTAATATCAGTGTCAGGCACAGCACGTGACCTTCTGTAAATCTAAAACATCGGTTCCCAACAGGGGGGTCGCGGCCCACAAGGGGGCCTCAGCGAGCTCTGTGGGGGGTCGCGTCATATTTTGAAAGGTTTGAGCAATGAGCATTAAATAAAAGTCCTTAACTTATTTCTGTTCAAAATTTACAAAATGTATATAATGAGCGAGTTCATCATGAATCCATTTTCCAATCCGTGTTTTTGTCTTATCCTGAACCACTATGGTACACCTATAATAAGTGTTTACATTGGGACTATTTTACACTGGTTCGGATCGCTGCCGCTGCGGAGTAGCCCAGTACCTGCGTGACTCGTCATAGACGTACACAGAGAGAAGTAGTTCCGGCTACAATGTTCTTCCGAAAGACGCATTATTCTGTTAATAAATTCAAGTTTATTATCGCTCGCTCCTGCGCCAAAAGCGTAAAAAATAAAGCCTCACAAATAACATGCAAGTATTGAGGCCCCAGACAACAGTCATTTAGTAATAGCATTCTTTCTTTTTTTTTTTTAAAGAATAGCTCTTCATATTTTTGTTTTTGCATTTCAAATAGGACCAATTTATAGGCTTCTCCTAGGCTTACGTTTTTAAATTACAAAGAGCCTACTGATGGTTTTTGTTATTGTATTTTCAATATTATAGGCTATTATTTGTGCATAAACATACTGTTTGTTTGAAAAAAAATATATATATATTTTGTCATCCTTGCTGCAAGCTTACAAGAGCGATAATATCATTAAATGTGAAGGGGGGCCCTAAAATATTTTCTTGGGAAAAAAGGGGTCTCAGACAAAAAAAGGTTGGGAACCACTGATCTAAAACACACACTCCCACTCCCAGTAATAAACTCGGCAGTCCATTCCGAAACGGTACATGAAATCACAGATGAGAGTTGTAACTAAACATTGTTTAGAAAACTAGTCCCATCCGAATAGGGCTTACGTTTCACTAAGAAATGCATCAAATTGTGGAAGTGAAATGGTTACCACCATTGCCATTTCAGGTTAATTTCAACAGGAAAGAGGAAGGTGTGCAGTAAGGAGAGAAACATAGAATGCAAATGTAAATACACTTGTGTTACTGTAACGGTACTCAACGTGCTCATCGAATGGCTGAGACTGATCTGCATGCAGATTCCCTTCAAACTGCTGATGCACCATGACAGAAATTGACCTGAAAGAGGAAAAAAGGCATAGAAGAGAGCAGTTACAGAGCCCTTAGTGGCAAAACTGTGGATGCAATATCATTTGAAATGCAACGACTAACAGAATTGACCTCGCAGAGCTGTCTTGGGCCCGAGAGGTCCGCTGTATGGAGCTGTTGGTTGGATCTGCAAGGCAGCGCTGATGATGCTTCAGTCGAGCTGAAACTGATGTGCAGCTGCAGGTCCAGAGAGTCTCATAAAGGCCCACTGAAGTGCTTTGAATCGTGCAGCATTATTCAGTGTGTTGATGTCATTTCCACTGAAACCGTAAGACAGGGTGGGACATATCGAACAGCTCCACCCCTTTTTTAAATAGCCAGTAGTGTTTAGTTTATATCACAGCTCGACCAGAGCCGTTGAGCTCGGTAAAGCCGCAGTTTCCTCCTAATCTCCTCCATATCACTTTAAAATACAGCATTCTGGGCAGAATTCAAATGGATCCGATACGTTTTGTGGTGTGCGCCGAAACGCGCATATGATCCGCTCTGTGCTGCCGTGTCTCTGGACCGGAGCTGAAAACATATTTGCACTGTCTGAATCGTTGCCTATCCCCTATATAGTGCATCAAGTGCCATTCATCATGTAGAAAATAGTACAAGTGTGAACAAGTGGCTGATTTCAGCAGCAGCTTCAGCGTCTATTTGTAATGTAGGGGGCGGGGCTTCTGATTCTAGAGAGCATTTGATTGGACAGAAAATCTGATAAGAAGCTAAAGTGCCAAAGTGATGTCATCAAAATCACTTATCCATGGAAGTGAAAGACTACACTGTAAAAAAATTGCTGTAGTTATGCAGCTGTTTGCCAGTAACTTACTGTAGATTTAAATTGATGTATATTTACTGGCAACAGTTTGTTCAAAGTTAAATGAACATTAAACATTAACAAGTCTTTGTCTTTACAGAATAAAATTATAAAATAACAATCTAATGCAAAGCATTCTGGGAACCAGAAATCTTCATCAACCTTTTTCTGTTTTTTTTTCCTTCAGATTTTGGTTCCCAGAATGCTTTGCATGAGGCTGTTATTTTAGTTTTATTCTGTAAAGATAAAGACTTGTTAATGTTTAATGTTCATTTAACTTTGAACAAACTGTTGCCAGTAAATAACACCAGTTTAAAACTACAGTAAGTTACTGGCAAGCAGCTGCCAGTAATACTGTAATTTCTACAGATTTTTTTTACATTGTACGTTTTGAACGCTTATATCTTCTAAATGCGAATTCTGTCATTGTTTTGGAGCACACTAGCATATAGATAACAGTAAGACTAGCATAAACACTTACATTTAGATTTTATGGGGACTTTAAAGGTGAAGTGTGTAATTTTTAATGTTGCACATTAAAATTAATGTTGATGTTAAAGTACACTCTCATTGCCCAGATTGATATGCAGACACTGAGTATAACCAATCATAGAAAAAGTGTAACGCTGTGACACTTTCAAAACATTGATCTGTTTCTTTAAGTATGCAACATCGATTCAACCAATGATGCGAATTTGGGGTGGGACTACCAGCTTGTCTGGCCAATGACAGGATGTTTAGGGAAACCTGTTCGAAAACGGTCATTATTTTTTGCAATTTAGTTTGGTGATGCAGAAATTGCAGTGAAGCAACCAAAGTCATACATTTTCAGTGAGAGCTAGTGATGAGTAACAGCAATAATTAGTAATGCGATGTGGGCATGTCTAGGATGTACTAAAGTAATAGATGTGATTGTTTATCTGGGATTTGTGGATCTAATACTTTATAAAACCTAATGGGGGTCACCAAAGTACACACTATTCATGCCAAAACCTATGAATCGTGTGCAGTATTTTGAGGATGTAAGTGGCACTCAACGCAGGTCGAAGACTAATAACATGTTTTAAAAGCTAATGTGAACTGGTGGAAATGCAGGGAATGAAAAAAAAAGACACTTGGGAGATTTTGTGCACTCGTTTTAAATGTATAAATCGCACAGATCTTTTACCAGTATTTGAAAATATTTAACAATGAGAGATGTTAAAATTAACAATGATCAGCACTACCGTAATGAATAGTGCAAATAACTGTAATCAAAACTTGTACAGAAACACCTGAGGAAAACGAAAAGAACGAGTCTTTCATAAATGTCCATAAAAATTAGAAAAGAGAAAGAGAGAGAAAATAGAAACAATTAATGACATGAATCACGCACATTCATCATGTAAAGACTTATTCCACCATTACTGTGTCGGACGGCGTTGCTTTGGGGACGGAAACCCCCGGAGAACAACTTTTCACCATCGATGCTTTGAGCCGACTGTGGTCGATAGGGCTGGGCTATAGTGCTAAAATCACAGGCAATTTCACTTTTTTTTTTTTTTTGTGGGTTAAAATATGCAGGACTGATTTAATCAAGATACACAGTGTTAAACTGATGTTATTCAAAGCTGAATCATTTTCATTTACACGCACCAATATAACAAATATTTCCACTAAAACCATATAAAAAAGCTTTAAAAGGGGACTTTCAAGAACATTTCTGAGTGATAATGCAATGAATTCACGGAAATAAATCAAACTTAAATGCTGTTTTTGATACAGAAGAATTATGAAACTAGTGTGACGACACAATCTTTAGGAAACTTAATGGACAAATAAAAAAAAGCGCATTCAATTATTGTCTCCAGGAAAAATCATTGCAAAAATATAGCGAATATTCAATATTCCATATAATCGCCCAGCCCTAGTGGCCATACGGTGTCAGTGCAAGTGTGTTTTTCCACTCTCGTAATGCTGGTCTTTGAAACATGGCATGATGTGCACAACACCGAGGCTCACGACGCAGTCAAAGCATTAAAAAATACGAGTGTAAAGAATATGAGCACTAGAATCACATAAAACAATCCTGCCCTGCAAATGACATCATTCCTGTTTAAACGAAAGGATTTTGTACAATACATTTTGCAAAGGAACCTTTGTAAATACCCCTGTCTTTGCTTTGCCTTGAAATAATAAAGAAAAGAATGCCACAAAATTGGACCCAAAATCAAAATATCACGGATGGGGAGAGAAAATGAAATAAAAAAGACCGCAAACGCTTTGGCAGAAGAGGTGGGAAAGGAATACACAATGAAAGGATGAAAGAAAAGATAAATTACAGGTGTGACGTGAAGAAAAGTGGTTTTCTCTTTCGCTCAGCATGGCCCACCATCATACGGTGCTCCTCCCACAGATTCGGGGCTGCAAGTTATTCGGTTTTTTTTTTCCTCACAGAGGAAAGCAGCAAAGAAAAAAGGTGCTCTTCTCATGAAAGTCACGTTTCACTGATTGTCCACGGAAAATTGCGCTGGCTTCTGCCCACCGAGGAGAGCAGGAAGTCTCGGCTCAGAGATATACAATCACAGCGTATATATAAAGAGATCCTTTACAGGAAAGGAGCTGAGAATCCAAGTCAAGACCGTGAGGTTGCGGCCCTGCCTTTGAATCCATGTTTCATGTGTGTGTGTTTGTGTGTGTAACGGTGGATATTACTCCAGGGTCGTCTGTCCGTCGTCTGGCCTGGTGCTGTGCTCCTGCAGGCAGGTTTTGCGTACGACGGGCAGCGGGTGAGCCTCCGTGTTAAACACCCAGTCCTCAAGAGACAGCAGGTCGTCGTCCGAGAACAGCAGGTACAGGTATCTGTGATCGCATATGGACGGGGTTAACAAAACTCATGTTTTATTAACATACAAATAAAGCATGACATTCTTTTAAGTGCCCCTATTATACTTTTTTTTGGATATTACCTTTCATGTAGTGTGTGATATACTTCAGCTGTTTGTGAATGCAAAGTTTCAAAGATCAAAGTGCACGATCAATTGAGTTATTGCCAGTCTCACTTCCTGCACAAACCTATGTAGGTTTGTAACAAATTTGCATAATGCCAGACTATGGTCTTCATTGGCTGCCTGTGAACGACGACTACTTTGTCCTGCCCACAAACACTGTAGTTGTAGCTGAGACTGGAAGAGTTTGGTTTGTGTTTTCTGCATTGTGAAAGCAAAGGATGACATTGATAAGGTAAGACCGCAGTGTATCAAGAGCTGAAACTCTTGCTATATGCTAATGGGGGTTTGGTTTCAGACATGCGCTGTAAGTGGTCGACCAATCACAGCAGACTGGGCCCATCCGACCAATCACAGCAGAGCAGGATCTCGGAAAGGAGGGGTTTAGAGAGACAGGATCCTTGATCGATCAGTTTAGACACTGGTGATGCTGAAATGTATATTCTGAGAAAATTAAATCGTTTTTTACCTTGGATGCTTGTAAACCTAATTAGACTTTAAAGGAAAATTAGGAACCTTTAAAGGCACTTGAACACTACCATTATGTTTGGTATGCTTCTATGAATCACAAAAGGACATTTGACACTTCTGTTTTCTATACAACTAAAGTCAGCGTGGACGGATGTTGTCAAGCTCCAAAAATGTATATAAAAAGCATAAAAGTTTAACCCTGTACAGCCTTAAGGCTCGTACACACCGGGACGAATATCGGCGCGCGTTATTCGGCAGCGTTTTTCAACACGTTTTTTGTATTCACACCCAAGCGATTTTCGCTAACGATGAACCAAGTGAACATGCCAACCCATTCCCTGACATTAGATGGCGCCCATTTGCTCTGCAATACCACTCCATAACATTCTCTTTTATCAAGATTCTTGTCTTGCATCTTCCTCGTCTTATTTCTTCCCGGCAGTGTAGACGCTACTTGGCGTATATCTTCTTCGCCGTTACGTATGTGTGCTCGGCAAGACCGTTTTGTGTTTGAGCGCCCCCAAGTTGTGTTTTACTGTAACTTCAGAAGCTCCAGACACGTGAGCAAAAGCGCCAATCTCATTGGTCGGATAGTTTTTGACGCGGCGCGTCAAACTAAAAAAACGAACCCGAGGCGCTTTTAAAAAAATGACGCTTTTACGCGTGGCGTTTTTCGTGTCGGTGTGCACACTCACATTGGCGCCCTTTGTTTAGTCATGAGGCGTTAAATGTCGGCGAATATCGTGCGCGAAATTCATCCCGGTGTGAACAGGCCTTAACTGAATCTCTGCAATCGCTCAATCAGTGTTTCATACGTCAGTAAAACAGCTTGTGAACACGTCACTTAACGTTACATTTAACTCAGAAAGGTTATTATGTTCATATTTAATCAGTTAGTTATAAAAAAACCTACAGATGAGTATTTCATGTTTTCATGAATTTCAAAAAAATTCATGTATAGGCCTACATAATAATTAACAGTAAATATTTTTTCACTTTTAAGAAAAACAGACATGTAGGCCTATACATGAAATTTTTCCCTATAAATTAACAAAGGATCAAACTGAGTAATCCCATATACTGTGATATTTTTCATATCTACAACACTGTAGAGTTGTCATACTGTCCATACTGTGGTTTAAGCATTTGACAGGGTAAGAAAATTCAAACCGTACAGCACAAAAGCTCGAAAAAATTACCAACAATTTATCATATCAGCAGAGAAACTTGAAAAGAAACAGAAAAGAACTTGATGCATCTCAAGTCTTTTTTAAATTTATTCATTTAGCTGACGCTTTTATCCAAAGCGACTTACAATTGCTATATATGTCAGAGGTCGCACGCCTCTGGAGCAACTAGGGGTTAAGTGTCTTGCTCAGGGACACATTGGTGTCTCACAGTGGATTCGAACCTGGGTCTCTCACACCAAAGGCATGTGTCTTATCCACTGCGCCATCACCGCTTTTTTATATCCTCTTGCGTTGATCATCCTGATTGTTCAAACTGAAGTTCTGCATGAACGGCATTTAGCCACATACAGTACAGTGCAAAATACTACCGTGATTCCACCATTCATTATTAAACCTATAGATGAGCTGTCTGATTCAGAACATGAGGGTGATCATGAACTTACTTGAGAGTCTCGGACAGGAAGAAGCTTTGCTGCATGTTGTCGTGACTGACTGTAGAGGCGTACACATCTCTGATTCCTGAGAAACCCGCGTCTACGCGACAATGCTTCTCTAATGCCTGTGAAGACAATTTATTCACAATGTTTATAATTACAATGTGCCAAGAAGCACTAAAGATCATGTGACACTTCCTTGTACACTATCAGTAACCTTATATTAGCAGTTCACAACAGTAAGAAAAAAGTTATTGTAAATAATAAAATGCAAATAACTATATAATCATGCATTGTTAGGATAGTAAAATAGACTCTTAAATTGGAGAAGAGTAAATTCATATTGTTTAAAAGGATGCATTATTTGATCATAAGTGACAGTAAAGACATTTATAATGATACAGAAGATTTCCATTTCAAATAAAAGTTATACTATTCATCAAAGAATCCTGAAAAAATTAAAATGAAATGAAAACAGTTTTCAACATTGATAATAATCATAAACGTTTCTAGAGCATCAAATCATCATATTAGAATGATTTCTGAAGGATCATGTGACACTGAAGACTGGAGTAATGATGCTGAACATTCAGCTTTGATCACAGGAATACATTACGAGAGATTTGTGAGTACATCCTTTAAAACAACAGAACTGCTATTTTGGTCAAAAGTGGAGAAGATTTACCGCTAAATTTGAGCACTGAATAAAAAAAGAGCTGACATGGCAAATTAATGATCTATTAACCTCAAACAAAGGTAGACATCTAGACTATAATTAGGATTGTCTCATGAGTTGGTTTGACGATGTATTTGACAAATGCATTTGCGTTCCCCTCCACCTCCAGCACCCAGTAATTAACATGTCAGTCTGTTGGAGGGAGTGCAGCACTTTAACATGAGCTATATTTAATATAACAGCCATAGCCAACCATTCATTTACCAAAGCTAATGCGAATGAGTGCCATGTAAGACCTTGAGATCCTCAACCTCTACAGTGCAGAAGGTTGTGTATCTATCTATCTATCTATCTATCTATCTATCTATCTATCTATCTATCTATCTATCTATCTATCTATCTATCTATCTATCTATCTATCTATCTATCTATCTATCTATCTATCTATCTATCTATCTATCTATCTATCTATCTATCTATCCATCCATCCATCCATCCATCCATCCATCCATCCATCCATCCATCCATCCATCCATCCATCCATCCATCCATCCATCCATCCATCCATCCACCCACCCACCCACCCATCTATCCATCCATCCATCCATCCATATATGTATTATTGAATCTATCGGTCAATGAATCCATCCATTCATCCATCCATCCTTCCATCCATATATGTATTATTGAATCTATCGGTCAATGAATCCATCCATTCATCCATCCATCCTTCCATCCATATATGTATTATTGAATCTATCAGTCTATGAAGAATCCATCCATCCATTCACCCATCTATCCATCCATCCATCCATCCATCCATCCATCCATATATGTATTATTGAATCTATCAGTCTATGAATCCATCCATCCATCCATCCATCCATCCATCCATCCATCCATCCATCCATCCATCCATCCATCCATCCATCCATCCATCCATATATGTATTATTGAATCTATCAGTCTATGAAGAATCCATCCATCCATTCACCCATCTATCCATCCATTCATTTATATATGTATTATTGAATCTATCGGTCTATGAATCCATCCATCCATCCATCCATCCATCCATCCATATATGTATTATTGAATCTATCGGTCTATGAATCCATCCATTCATCCATCCATCCATCCATCCATCCATCCATATATGTATTATTGAATCTATCGGTCTATGAATCCATCCATTCATCCATCCATCCATCCATCCATGTATGTTGAATCTATCAGTCTATGAATCCATCCATCCGTCCATCGAAGTAACACTAAAAAATACGCTATGTTCTGTAACCACATTTTTAATATCGGGGTAATACTTTCAGCTGTTGAAAACCCATATTTTTTTACCAATAGCCTAAATATTCACATAACATTCTGAATATGTGTTTGTTTGATTGCACAGATGTCTCACACACCTCCACCGCCTCCCAGCCCCACTCCCTGTACTTGGGGTCATGGGTCAAACGCCACATGTACATGTAGCTCTCGATGACCTCTGGCCTCAGGATGTAGTAGCGGTCGCTCAGTCGGGTGGCTGTGGCCTCCGCTCCTCCATCAAAGCGGAAAGCCTCTGGACCAAGTTTGGTGGCTGTTGACATAGAAAACCTTTTAAATACTGACTCTAAATACTGTTCCTGGTCTTATTGTGAAATATTAATCAATGCACATTATAATGTACTGATAATAATCCATTGCAATGTAAAAACATCTGAAACTCCGATAACCCGGTTCTGTTCTGATCACTAACAATCCAATCACAATACGATTTGTTTTACACTGTCACACTACAATAAAACGGGTTGTGAAACATATTTCACATTGCCGAAACGATTACAGTATTTTAGTTTGCGTCACTGCTTTCTAATTAAAGTGGTTTTCATGTGTGTCTCTGCATTAAAGTACATTCACATTGACAACATTTCAATCGCTGGATGGCAAGTCACTACGGCTGGTTGACTTTATGCCATTGATCTGTGATTTTTTTTTAAATCACATTCATAGAATGAATTTCTGAAGCCAAGCAAGAAGAAATAAACAGTTATGTTGTGATATTCACATGCTACAAATTTATTCCACACAAGCTACATTAACGTGCACAGAATAGATGAAGATAACAAACCACTTAGTAAATGTTGAGACCTTCAGATTAACATTAAATAAGATTAATAAATGCTGTAGAAGTTCATTGTTAGTTCATGTTAACTAATGTAGTGAAGTAATGTTAACAAATGAAACCTTATTGTAAAGTGTTACAGAGAAAACAGAAAGCATGTCTATTGTTCTCACTAAAAGTGTGTTATATGCAGTAAAAACAGAGATGCTATTAGTCTTCAATCTCCCTCATACTGATTTCCTCAGATGGTGCAAATACTAGCAGATGCGACGAGCTTTGTGTTTTTACAGCATGGAGAAACCTGAGGTAGTAAACAAAGTGTGTGTGTGGTTTGTGCAAACTTTGATCACCAGCCGGTCTGTGAGGACGTCTTTATGAAAACACATTGCAGAACATAACGTAACAAACCCAAATGTTTCCCATCATGCCCCTTAAATCTAAAATTACAAGCAGCTCCAGTCTGAGAGAACACTCTCTTCTGAAGAAACATTTTTAATTTGCATACTGATTTCGGTTTGTTTTGTCTCAATTCCTTGTCTCTTTAGCAATATTACACCACTTCAGCCTGGAACAATATTTAGCACGGCGTGGCGGTTGTATTTAAGTGTAGTATGGCAGTGATTATAGTGAGTTGCGCTGTAGCCGCTCTGTTACGGTGATGCCACTTCTCCCACGGGGAAGCATTTATCGTCAACATTAATATGACACTTCTCGAAATATGGCACAGTGTTTCTCCAAACCTGTTTCATATAACAGCTTCTTTGTGCTTCACAGCACACTGGGGCATATTATAATGAAGAGAATATGTTAATAAAAGTAAAACATAAGACAGAATTTCCTGTATTGATTGTCAGGTCTTGGCTATTTATTTGGTGTCTCAGTTCTGCTCCTTGTGTTGTTTGCGGTTTTTGTTATTATTTGTATTAATCTGACTCTTATTTTCATTAAATCTTATTTGCATCATTAAATCTTATTTGCATCATTTCTCATTCCTCAATTCCCCCACGTTACAGCATCTTTTAAAAAACATTTTTTATAAGTGATTCTTATTAGATTCACATTTTAATACGGTAATTTTGCTATACAGTAGTACAGTAATAAAATGATGAATTATTTAAAGGCAATACAAGAAATACTACATAAATACTTAAAAATGAATGTTTTCACAATAATGAGAATTCGGGGGTGAAAATATCTTTGTCATTCAAATAAATAACACAATGCAAAGAAATCGTAATGTTCCTAAACTCATTTGTGTCTTTAAATGTTCTCAACAGGTTTGGTGAGATTGATTCATATGTTGTGAGTTCAGCCGTGTTATATTTTAAGAGAGACGCGAGGTCAGAAATTGTGTGACGAGATCAAACATGTTATTTCACTCCTGCTATGTCTCTTGATGAGAGCGCTGTGAAGACCAGCACAATTTGTGCTACTTTTGATCTGAACCAGGTTCGACTTCATCTCATTTGTTTGCTTCTGATGTCTGAGAAAGCAACACAGTCTGAGGAAAGAGGTTGTGATTATCCAGGAGAGTAATGGCCTTCCTCTATCTGAGCGGCAACAGATTGGATTTTCAGTAACACAGACAAGCTGGAAGCATGAAGAGAAAGATAAGACAAAGGGATATTTCTGGGGAAGCTGCCTTTCAACGTTTCCCACAGATCAGTAGGAGCTTTTTCAGTAGGAGTCAAATCCCTCACTAACTAAACACTCCGTTTACATCATTCCAGCTTTATTTTACAAGCGTTTACATACTATTCATTCATATTTTAAATCAGCTTTTATTATATTTTCAACATGCATTTTATTTGTTTTTTTTTGGTAACACTTTACAATAAAGTTTGATTAGTTAACATTAGTTAAATACTTTAGTTAATATAAACTAATAATGAACAGCACTTCTACAGCATTTATTAATTTTTGTTAATGTTAATTTCAACATTTACTAATACATTATTAACAAAGGTTGTATTTGGTAACATTAGTTAATGCACTGTGAACTAACATGTGTTACCAGTTTTTTATATTTCTGTATAGCGTACATTTATTTTTATTTCAGTTTTAGTCATTTTATGGAAGCTTGTTTCCACCACAGAATAAAAAGTCGCAATTGCGGGTTATAAAGTCAGAATTGTGTGATATAAAGACCCAATTGCGAGTTATAAAGTCAGAATTGTGTGATATAAAGTCGCAATTGCGAGTTATAAAAACAGAATTGTGTGAAATAAAGTCGCAATTGCGAGTTATAAAAACAGAATTGTGTGATATAAAGTCGCAATTGCGAGTTATAAAAACAGAATTGTGTGATATAAAGTCGCAATTGTGAGTTATAAAAACAGAATTGTGTGATATAAAGTCGCAATTGCGAGTTATAAAGTCAGAATTGTGTGATATAAAGTCGCAATTGTGAGTTACAAAGTCAGAATTGTGTGATATAAAGTCGCAATTGTGTTACAAAGTCAGAATTGTGTGATATAAAGTCGCAATTGCGAGTTATAAAGTCAGAATTGTGTGATATAAAGTCGCAATTGCGAGTTATAAAGTCAGAATTGTGTGATATAAAGACGCAATTGTGAGTTACAAAGTCAGAATTGTGTGATATAAAGTCGCAATTGCGAGTTATAAAGTCAGAATTGTGTGATATAAAGACGCAATTGTGAGTTATAAAGTCAGAATTGTGTGATATAAAGACGCAATTGTGAGTTATAAAGTCAGAATTGTGTGACATAGTCACAATTGCGAGTTATAAAGTCAGAATTGTGTGATATAAAGTCGCAATTGTGAATTATAAAGTCAGAATTGTGTGATATAAAGACGCAATTGCGAGTTATAAAGTCAGAATTGTGTGATATAAAGTCGCAATTGTGAGTTATAAAGTCAGAATTGTGCGATATAAAGTCGCAATTGTGAGTTATAAAGTCAGAATTGTGTGATATAAAGTCGCAATTGAGAGTTATAAAGTCAGAATTGTGTGATATAAAGTCGCAATTGTGAGATAAAAAGTCGCAATTACCTTTTAAAATGTTTTATTCTGTGGTGGAAACAAGCTTCCATAAATTTTAGTACTTCTACTTATTTATTTCAGTTAGTTAGATATAATTATTCAGAACCTTATTTCAGTTAACTAAAACTATCTTTAATAGATTTGGGTTTTCATTTAAGCACTAAAATCACTAAAATGAAAATAAAGAAAAATAAAATGATGTACAAAAATGGATAAAAATGACAAAGAGAAACAAACTTACTTAAACTTAAATTGAAATTAAATCAAAATTAGGGCTGTCAAACGATTAATCACGATTAATCGCATCCAAAATAAAAGTTTGTGTTTACATAATATATGTGTGTGTACTGTGTATAATTATTTTGTATATAAATGCACACATGTACTGTATATATTTAAGAAAAATATTTCTTTATATTTATATAAAATATACATTATATATAGGCTACATTCAGTCTATATACAGTATATACATGCAAATATTTCTTAAATACACATGCATGTGTGGGTATTTATGTATTAAACATAATTATACACAGTACACACTCTAAAAAATGCTGGGTTGTTTCAACCCAAATTTGGGTCAAATATGGACAAACCCAAATGTCGGGTTAAAAATGTAATTTTAAATTTTAACCCAACTTCAACTTTCACTTTCAACTGTAAATTTTTTTATTACATTTTTAACCCAACATTTGGGTTTGTCCATATTTGACCCAAATTTGGGTTGAAACAACCTAGCATCTTTTAGAGTGCACACACATATATTATGTAAACACAAACGTTTATTTTGGATGCGATTAATCGTTTGACAGCCCTAATCAAAATATAATTATTTTTTTTGTTGAATAAATATACTATAATAGTATATTACTTTAAAGTTAATTTACTTCATGTGACTGTAGTGACTTTCTGCACTTTAAAGAGTCGATTCAGGAGTGCTGCTGCTCAGTTCCTACAGCACTCCTTTAAAGGATGAGTATTTTCACCAACTCCAACTAACATTGTTTGCTGAGACCATTCAGACATAAACCCGTCTCTTTCAGCGGACCGACCTGAGCGGCTGTAGGACTCGTGGCAGGTGTGAGTGATTTCAGCTGCCAGATCCAGGTAGTGCTGCTTCTGTCCCGCCGGCCCGTCATCAGCGCCGATGCCAATCATCCCGCCGGAGAAACAGGCCAGATGCCCCATCTTATGGTCCAGGATGCCCCCTCGCCACTCGGCCACGTACGTTAATCCGCCCGGAGACTTCTGCACCAGGTTCGTCTCGATGGCCTGGACATTCACAGAGAAAATGATAAATAAAAAGCAGAGCCGCTTTTTTTGAGTCGTGGAGCGTGAGATTTTTCCAAACAATACATGCATGCTGATGATAACGCAGCTATTAATCGCAGTCGAACACGCTTCCTATGAAAAACAGATGGATGGACGTGTTTTGTGTACAAGTGGATGAAACATCCGTTAGATTTGTAAAGTGCTTTGAAATCAGGGCGACGCTGGGTTTCAATAAAGCTTGAATTTATGCACATAAAACTGGGACAGCGTGCATATATTGCCTTAGGTGCCAACATTTATGCATGAAATGTTTTATGTATAGTATAAGACAGTATGCTGCGTGCTGAATTGAAGTCAAGCCTCATTGAGATTCTATCGGGACTTTGACACTTGAAGGTGTATAAATCTGCCAAAGACTATATGGGAAAAGATCTCAGCGCTGTTTATTTCAGAGAGTCTGCTGAAATCTGTCTCGTCCCTCTGCGATTTTATGTTTCCGCCTTTTAAGACGAGCACAAAACAGCACAAGCCATCATGGACGATCAATAGCGAATGACTCATCGTTTTGTTTTGCTCTTTCGTTGCGTCCTCCTCTCCAAGTCCCAACCAAAACTTCTTCAGAAGGTTTTTCTCCATGGTTGTGTCATCGGTTTTCTCCATTTTGCATCATCAAATGTATACAACCCACTTACAGTGAACATGAAATCAAAATTCATGATACACAGAGTTAAACATCAAATATCATCAAGTGTATGGCTAGCAAATATCTCACATCGATTTTAAAAACAATTTCACCACCAACACCTCTAAACCTAATCAAAAGCATTGTGCACATGAAAACATGTTGACATTAGGCTGATGAAAGTGCCCTTTTCTGATTATAAATGTCATTAATATCTTGGCAGACCACATTTTTCAAGGGAAACATTATCTAATGAAAACGCTAATATACAAATGAAGTGATAATGAGTGAGAATGTTTAGATTTGTGCTCTTGGATCAGGATGAGCGCGAGTCGAGAGGCGAATCTAATCTTAAACTAATCTATTTCACACACTTACCGACTGTGCAATTTTTTTTTTTTTTTTTACTGAACATGCTGAAGACCAGAAATAGTACATGCAACTAAATTGCAAGAAAATAAATAATAGCATAATGAAATAATGCTTTGTAAATGCCATTGGTACGGTTTAGAATGATCAATCAAAGAGGTGAATGTTATGAATGATATTTCCGTACGTCCATAGCGCTGTAGTACATCTTCTTGGCCTCCTCATCCGTCTTATCTGACATCAGGAAGGATTTGATCAGGTACTCATAGAAACTGTCCCCGAGACCTCCAATCGAGACATGATCTGAGATAAAGAGAACACGACAAAAACTCTGAACTCTACAACCACAAAATTATGATACAAAACATTTTGAATGAAGAAAATGAAGCCCATTTTTAGGGGCAATAAGATGCAATTATGCAGTTTGAAATGTCCAGCTGCAACTTCCTGTTACAACAGGAAATATGTCAACACAGTAAAGATAACTGCACTCAAAGAAATTTGTTATGGTCCTAAAATAGGCCAATACAAACACACACACGCACATACACACACACACACACACACACACACACACACACACACACACACACACACACACACACACACACACACACACACACACACACACACACACACACTCACTCACGCACACGCACAACAGACACACAAACACACACACGCATACACACACACACACACACACCGTCCATGCACACACACGCACACACACATACACACACAAGTACACCCGCACACACAAACACGTGCACACGCACAACAGACACACAAACACACACACACACACACACACACACACACATGCACACTATCCATGCACACACACACACACACACACACACATGCACGTGCACACACACACACTCATGCACGCACAAACACGTGCACACGCACAACAGACACACAAACACACACACGCACACACACACGCACACCGTCCATGCACACACACGCACACACACACACACACACACACACACACACACACACACACACACACACACACACACACACACACACACACACACACACACACACACACACACACACACACACACACAAGTACACAGGCACACACAAACACGTGCACACGCACAACAGACACACAAACACACACACACACACAAGTACACCCGCACACACAAACACGTGCACATGCACAACAGACACACAAACACACACACACACACACACACACGCACACTATCCATGCACACACACACACGCGCACACACACACACACACGCACGTGCACACACACACTCACGCACGCACAAACACGTCCACACGCACAACAAACACACAAACGCACACCGTCCATGCACACACACACACACACAAGTACACCCGCACACACAAACACGTGCACACGCACAACAGACACACAAACACACACACACACACACACACACACATGCACACTATCCATGCACACACACAAACACACACAAACACGTGCACACGCACAACGGATACATGCACGCACGCATATATATACAATATATATATATACCGTATATATATCTTTTTATCTATAATTACATTTAATTTTGTTTCTCCATTTTTGATTTGGAGGTTGAATATCTCCCAGGCGTGATCTCAGCAGGTTTCATGATATTCAGTTATTTCTGTTATTCTTATACCAGGATTAGAAGTGAATGGTTTCTATTTATATGCACACCCTTCACTGTGTTCGGTTCAGGGAAGATCCTGGTACTATAATCGGAATCAACAAACATAATGCCAGGAATGTTTGTATCCGCCCTCCGCTCTATTGACATGCAAATCAGAAAGAGTGTGTCGCGTTCTCTTCTCGATATCTCGGAGACTCATTAGGCATTCCCATGCTACACCAATTAGTGCTGCGGTTGCAGATTACATTCACCCTAATAAAGAAAAAAAAATATTTCCCCTGTTTTTCAGGTGAATTTGAAAGATTCAATTTCCAAAAGGTAATGGGATCTATTATCATTTTAATAACTCTTGGCCGTGGGCTCATGTCCCTGCTTGACAGGAGAGCCGCACTGGCTCAATTGATGTCATGGATGCCAGAATAATTGCATTGTGAAGCTCAAAGATGGAGCTTGTGAGAGTCGCTCTCATGACCCAGCGCACCAGCCACTGAAAAACCAACAGAAACAAAAAAATACTAACAAAAACAAATGCATGTATACACCACACCAGTAAAAAGTTTGGACACACTGCACCAAATGTATGCTTGTTACAATGAAAATACTACATCTTTACAAGTTTGAAATATTTTACTAAGAAGAGTTGAACTCTTTGCATTTGAACGAGAGGATTGCATGAGAATGGCAAAACACTTGCCATCAACCTCGGTGTGAATATTGTGGGAAACATTGTTTACAAATATTTCATAATTTTAGGTTGTTCAAGCACATCGTCCCAGGGCGTGCACAGGCCAAATACAGTAAATTTGAATATTTGGAAATATATATATATTTTTTCAGATTCTCAATAATTAAAGGTTTTTACTGTTGAATGATGGGAAAGCCCAAATAAAATGCACACACACACACACACACATTTTAACTATTTATTTAAGTTCACTTAAAATAAATGATTTACAGGGACACAAATACTATAGATGCAGTCAAATGCATGCACATAATCAAGGACCCACACACACACACACACACAAGCTTTTTCCAGACAATAGGAACAGCTGTAATTAGCTAAATTCTATCATCTATCACACCTTGCACATTCGTTATTAAAATATTTTGGCTAATTTGATAATGCCGCCAATCCAACAATCCAAAGCATTTTTCTACAATAAAAGTTGCACAGAATTGACATGCACACCACCAAAGTTGCATTTACACATACCTCCAATCATGGGAAACAATGATCGTCATGACAACAAAAGTTTAATGTGGCTATGGTGCACTTATTTTATTAAGGTGTTAAATATGCATTGGTGGTATAATGCAGACGTGGACTCAATGTATCTTTCTTAATCAGTATTTTTGTCTTGTTTTCCAGGAAAAACCTTCTTAAAACAAGACAAAACTCCACAAGATTGTTATTTAAAAATATTTTAAATTAAGTTTACTTTTCTTGCTTCATTGTAATTTTTATTGTTCAAAGCATGAATAGAAGAAATAGTAAGGTTTATGCTAAAAAGTTTAGCTTCGTTCTCATGCAAAATGATCTTTTAAGGATGCTTAGATATTTTACAGGGAATTGTTCGGCTAATTTGATAATGCCACCAATAACAGTGTAGTACCTGTTTGTTTCAAATGATTTAAAATCACTGAGATATTACTTACGTTGCACCCAATTTCCACTGATGGGACTCAGGAAGTTGGGATACAGACCATGAGGCTTCTCCATTTTGTTCAACAGCTTTCGGATGTTCATCACCTAACAAAAAAGACAAAACCACATAGTTCATTCAATGCCCGTATCCTGTCCTCTCAGTGTAAATTAGTGTCGTCAAACGTACCAGTACTTCGGTACCAAGTCGATACCTACAGACTACCAAACTTTTGATTATAATGAGAGTTTTTACTCAGTTGCTCATAATTTGAATATGTCAAAATAGATCCATGGATTAAGTATTAAAGGTTTCATGATATGAGAAATCAAAATGGCCTTGATCTTTGTACCATTAAAACATCCTGCAAGTTTCACAGCTTAAAACGTCCACCTCATTATAAACAAACCATTTATTACATCAAGCTCCAAAAACAGCACATTTGGATATTGTGGGATTTGTGATATCATAAAGGCAAATTCATTAGCATATGACCACCTCCAGAGCGAGACATGGACCAATAGTTTTACATCATCGCACCATAAACGTAATTTTTCGGTTAATTAAGTGCATCATCAGGGTACTTTAAGTGCACTTTTTCTTTTTGGAATTATCAGTGAACACACTACTCACAATATTTATACTACAAAAACGGCATATAGGGCATAAGTATGAAAATTGGGACACACCTAGAAGGTCAGAATGAGGGTTGAAAATAATCGTCGTTTCCACATATATATTAGTTTTTGGCTGTTTTTGTGCAAACAAAGTGCACATATTAAACTACTATAAAAATCTATTTAATGACAGTGTAAGTGAATACTTCCTTTTATTACTAACTCTTCAATTGATTTTTTAAATGCAGTGTTTATTTAACTGAACAATATTTGAAGGCTACATGCTAATGTTTTACTGTATTATTAACTTACATTAAATGGAATTAGTTAATTTAAATGCTATTAATGATTATTATATCTAATTTTCAAATAGTACCGAGAACCGTGAAATTTGACTGGTACTGACTACTGAAAGATTGGTATGGTGACAACATTAATGTAAATCATCAGAAGACAAATGACTCTCGCCTTCTCAGTGAACACTGGGTTTCCAGACAGTTGGGACAGGTGAACGAACTCCAGGTGCAGCGTCCCGAACTCTGCCAGGATACTGCTCCCGGCCGATGCCCAGCCCCAACTCCAGCTGGTGCCACTGCAACAGAGAGCAAACCAGGCACAGTGAGCACCACCACCCACGCCACACCGCTGCCATGGCAACCAGGCAGGTAACAGTGCGGCCATGGTAACAAAGCACCAAACCATGGAAAGCGGATGCCAGCGCACTTGTAATTTGCTGGGAAAATAAGCGCAGTGGAAACGGCAGGAACTGTTTAACACAGACGTGCTAAAAGCCTTCACTTCATCCCACACCAGAACATTACAACATGCTTAATGCAAAATCAATAATGATGCCATTTTTAAGAGGATTGAATATACAATAAAACATGTTCAACATTCAAATTTATTCCATCTAGAAACATCTCAGATGGTTTGCACAGACATGCACACCACCTAAAGTTGCATTTACAGTTCTGCTAATAAGATTACACACTTGCAGAATATGTTAATCGTTTTAACAAAATAAGAGGGATCATAAAAAGTGCATGTTATTTTTGATATACTACTATCCCGAATAAGCTGTTTCCATATCAGATGCGATGTGATGTACACATACTGTTTAGCATGGGTCTGATGCATTTATTTTATTAAGGTGTTAAAAAAATGCATTGGTGGAAAGATTTTATGCTACAAAGTTTGGCTTCTCATGCAAATTGATCTTTTAAGGATGTTTACATATTTCACAAAACAATACTGACATTTATAAGAGTGAGGTAACCCTCTCAAGATGAGTGCTTTCAAAAGTTTTAATCATAAAATCATTAAGTGTTAATCTGGAGCGCGTAAAAATCACATTTAGTCTTCTGGTATTTAGCACTAATTTAAGGTTAACAATAGCCTGGTTAAAACCAGACCATTCTCAGTTGTAACTGAGTTATGGTCTGGGAAAGCGTCATAGACAAATCATTTCCAGAGGGGCGTCACCAACGGACGTCGCGGATAGACCTAAAACCAATCAGAGCGATGAAGGAGATGACGTATGCAGAGCGGCGGAGAAACATCTCCGAGTGTTGTTCTTTGCTTGGTTTTTAACAAAAAGGAAACGTTCAAATCGCTTAAAACAGACGCGATAGCTGATTCGAACGAGTGATGTTCGACGGCGGCATCCATCTTTGTAATGTAGGCTACAAAATCTGCTTCAAAATCCCAGCGCTGTCGTCATCGTGTAAAGCCCGCCCCAACGTTTCTGATTGGTGCCGCGATTTCGACGGATTGGAAATGGGCTTGAATGAGCTCTTTGCCAGACTAACTTTCAGAGCAAATCTAAATTTGCCGGAAGTTGTCTGGGTTTTCCCAGGCTAGGTTAACAAGACAAGTCTGAATTAAATTAAAAGCAGTCTGTAAGGAGTCCATTGCCACTTTTACAGATGGAGCCATATTATATAACCTGCATAAAAGTATTCATTTGCTGGCTCTAGTCCTACACCAAGTTCATTTATAGAAATAGAAAATAAAATTGGTCCCAAAATAGACCCTTGAGGAACACCTGCCTTTACACACGGAGTTCTTCCAGTAAAATAGTTAAAAAAACCACTTCAGCACTGTATTACTAAAACCTATACATTTGAGCTTATGCAAAAGAAGACCATGATCCACAAAATCAAATGCTTTGGATAAATCAATATATAAAGTGCAACACATGATTTTCTAACATCCAATGCAGTAATAATGTGATTGGTGACTGACATCACAGCAGTTATAGTACTATGTCCTTGTCTAAAACCTGAATAAGTTTGACTTAAGATCTTATTAACCAACAAACAGTGCTTTAACTGTTCATTTGCCAGGGATTCAAATAACAGCTGTAATAGACCATCTGGAAATAGTGCAACAATGTACATTTTTTACGATCAGTTTGAACAGTACATCCAGAGCATTTTATTCTTTATTTTGATCACATGTCATTAAAATTTCAACTGTTCTGCTTCTGGACTCACTCCTGCTGCATGGAAAAAAACTGAGCAGAGGAAACATGGAAAGAGAGAGAAAGAGAGAGATCGAGATGCTGAATGAACTCTGAAATTAACCGCTCCAGATTTCGGGCTTCGCTTCTCCCTGCAGGATTCGTTCGGTGAAACTGTGGAACTAATTCACAAGATTATTTGTTTCTGGTTCTTATTGTGAAAGCGAGCCACGCACCGCTTCCCTTCTGAAAGAACGATCAATAGCGCTGACATCTGGGGAGGAAGAGGAAAGTGAGAAAACTTTTGTCGGAAAAATCAACCCAAACCAACACAAAACAACTAAGTGTTTGTTAAATAAAAGGTGGATCGTATCGCCGGTGGGAGAAATGGCTTAAAGCAGATTTAATATTAAGAAACAGATCATGAACGACGCTGAGTAGATGCTTATTATTAAAAAAATCAACGCTTGATTGAATTTTTGAAGACAATTATTGCACATTTATTATTGCCTTCTGCCTGAAATATGCATGTGATGCTGCACTGGAATTTGAAAAAAATGAGGTATAAATGTTTTGATGCCTTAAATGCTTCCTGGCAACTTACTAATGTTGTCAGAGATTTGACTTCAACTCTTTCTGACATTGACTAGTTTGGAATAATTAAGTTTTTCATTTATGTTGTTTAAAAGAAGCCTCTTATGCTCCACCAAGACTGCATTTATTTGATCAAAAATACAGTAAAAACAGTAATATCGTGAAGTATGATTACATTAATAATACAATTATTACAAGAATAAAAAAGCAGCACAACTGTTTTCAACATTGATGATAATAATAAATGTTTCTTGAGCAGAAAATCATCCTATTAGAATGATTTCTGAAGGATCATGTGACTCTGAAGACTGGAGTAATGATGCTGAAAATTCAGCTTTGATCACAGAAATACATTACATTTTAAAATATACTCGCATATAAAACAGCTATTTTAAACTGTAAGTTTTTAATGTACTGTATTTTTAATCAAATAAATGCAGCTTTGGTGAGAGACTTCTTCCAAAAACAGTAAATTTTAAAAATAATTATAAACTTTTGACCGGTATGTGAATGTCATCATAAGAGCGTGTGCGTAGTGACGTGTGTTCGGTCTGTGTCACCAAGACTAACCTGAGTGCCACAACGGGACTCGCTTTCTCCCAGCCCATCTGTGGGACCGGCTCCTGTTACTCATCTAACTGGAATTAGCGTGAGAATCAGTTAATTAAATTTGCCTGCAGCTGTCAGAGCGAGCTGGAGGGCTAATGGAAGCCAGGTGGGCGACAGGAGTGCCAGAAAGCTTCCGCTCAGAAAACAAGAAAGAAATGGAAATATTCAAGGCATATGGCTTTGTGAATGGAAGCGTCTAGCCGGGTTGGGGCCGACAGACGGGACGGTGCGCAGACAGGTAGAAGCTGCATGGGATGCTCACCTGCCCAGGTTAATGACTCCTCTGGGAATGCCGGTGGGTGTGTTGAAGGCGGGTAACAACTTCTCGCCCAGCTCCAACACCTTCTGCTTAAATACCTGAAAGATAAAACAACAGAAAACTGTTAACTGCTGTTGCACTGTAGCAAACACATCTGTGCAAGTGTCTCTTCAAAATCACACATTTAAAGGACTAATTTTCGAAACGTTTGGCACATTTTCCACATGCTATCCAAACAGTCAGATACAGGTCCTTCTCAGAAAATTAGCATATTGTGATAAAGTTAATTATTTTCCATAATGTAATGATAAAATTTTTACTTTCATATATTTTAGATTCATTGCACACCAACTAAAATATTTCAGGTCTTTTATTGTTTTAATACAGATGATTTTGGCATACAGCTCATGAAAACCCAAAATTCCTGTCTCAAAAAATTAGCATATCATGAAAAGGGTCTCTAAACGAGCTATTAACCTAATCATCTGAATCAACTAATTAACTCTAAACACCTGCAAAAGATTCCTGAGGCTTTTAAAAACTCCTAGCCTGTTTCATTACTCAAAACCGCAATCATGGGTAAGACTGCCGACCTGACTGCTGTCCAGAAGGCCATCATTGACACCCTCAAGCAAGAGGGTAAGACAGAAAGAAATTTCTGAACAAATAGGCTGTTCCCAGAGTGCTGTATCAAGGCACCTCAGTGCGAAGTCTCATCAAATAAATGCAGCCTTGGTAAAAGAAGATACTTTGTTGAAAAACATTTAGATTAAACAAACATTCCAAACTGTACTGTAGTAGTATGATATATAGTCATCACATGACTTCAACAATACATTTAATTTAGTTGACTTAATGATCAAATAAGAAAAAAAAAAAAGTTTTTTAGCTGTCTGGTATCTGGGTGTTCAAACTTTTCCTTTTGTAGCATGTGCAGAAAACTCCTCACCAACAGTTTATATTTCAAATGCAACGGCTGTATTTATCAAATTCACCCAGAATGGACATCCAAACTGCCTTGAACCCACACAATCAAGTGTTTCTGTGACAAGGTCATCTTTAAAAGTGAATTAAACTAGACAGGGTGCAGCAGAATGGAACCGTGTGCAGACCTCAAGATGTGTTTTCAACGCTCATGTCGGCTGTTACACAAAGTAAGACGGCTGCAAATACAGTTGGTGACAGAGATATTTCTCTCTAAGCTCTTTTTGGTGGTGCTTGCTAAGGCAAGCACCACTATTATTGCTCTGATTTAGGTTTAGGGATTTGAACAAACCTCTAAATCTAAGTATTAAACTTCAATGTGCAACTCGTCCCAAACCAGACTTATGATTTTCACCTGGTGGGCGATAAAAAAGTAAAAAAAAACAAAAAAAAAAAACATAGATTTACACTGAAGGAAGCACCGGACCAAAATATCACAGAGACTTAAAGGTGCAGGACTCTTTTTCATACGGTAAAACCACATAGCAAACCACTCAGAATACCTTAGCAACCATGGAAACCACAACAATGCCTTAGCAACATGGTGGCAATGGTAAAAACAACACTGATCTTCAGTGCCAGAATACATTATATTTACCCGCGTTGTGAATGTGAGCTTGCAGACTGTATTGAATGTGATAAAATGATACTGTACTGCAAAATTACTGAAAACATCTTTCTATTGAGTTGTTCTCGGCTGCATGTGTAAACATACACTGCAATATTGTAGGACGAATAAATGATTCTTATGAGCCTGACTGTCCTTTTTAGCGAATCACAACATTCAGTGTAGTCTGATTACAGAATGAATGATTCTTACGAGTCGGTTCTTTTAATGAATAGTTCGAAAATACTCAGAGACACTGAACTGAATTGATCAGAGCGGCAACTAAATACAAATTTGACTCAATCAATGAACTGCAAGTTACCATTATGTTCATTGAGGCCTGTATTGAAATGAAGCGTTAATATCAATACTGACTAATTGTCCACATGACACTGTGTTGTTAAAGATGCACATTTAGTGACATTCAATATACACTCACCGACCACTTTATTAGGTACCCCATGCTAGTAACGGGTTGGACCCCCTTTTGCCTTCAGAACTGCCTCAATTCTTCGTGGCATAGATTCAACAAGGTGCTGGAAGCATTCCTCAGGGAGTTTGGTCCATATTGACATGATGGCATCACACAGTTGCCGCAGATTTGTCGGCTGCACATCCATGATGCGAATCTCCCGTTCCACCACATCCCAAAGATGCTCTATTGGGTTGAGATCTGGTGACTGTGGAGGCCATTTTAGTACAGTGAACTCATTGTCATGTTCAAGAAACCAATTTGAAATGATTAGAGCTTTGTGACATAGTGGAAGTAGCCATCAGAGGATGGGTACATGGTGGCCATAAAGGGATGGACATGGTCAGAAACAATGCTCAGGTAGGCCGTGGCATTTAAACGATGCCCAATTGGCACTAAGGGGCCTAAAGTGTGCCAGGAAAACATCCCCCACACCATTACACCACCACCACCAGCCTGCACAGTGGTAACAAGGCATGATGGTTCCATGTTCTCATTCTGTTTACGCCAAATTCTGACTCTAACATCTGAATGTCTCAACAGAAATCGAGACTCATCAGACCAGGCAACATTTTTCCAGTCTTCAACTGTTCAATTTTGGTGAGCTCTTGCAAATTGTAGCCTCTTTTTCCTATTTGTAGTGGAGATGAGTGGTACCCGGTGGAGTCTTCTGCTGTTGTAGCCCATCCGCCTCAAGGTTGTGCGTGTTGTGGCTTCACAAATGCTTTGCTGCATACCTCGGTTGTAACGAGTGGTTATTTCAGTCACTGTTGCCCTTCTATCAGCTCGAACCAGTCTGGCCATTCTCCTCTGACCTCTGGCATCAACAAGGCATTTCCGCCCACAGAACTGCCGCTCACTGGATGTTTTTTCTTTTTCGGACCATTCTCTGTAAACCCTAGAGATGGTTGTGCGTGAAAATCCCAGTAGATTAGCAGTTTCTGAAATACTCAGACCAGCCCTTCTGGCACCAACAATCATGCCACGTTCAAAGTCACTCAAATCACCTTTCTTCCCCATACTGATGCTCGGTTTGAACTGCAGGAGATTGTCTTGACCATGTCTACATGCCTAAATGCACTGAGTTGCCACCATGTGATTGGCTGCTTAGAAATTAAGTGTTAACGAGCAGTTGGACAGGTGTACCTAATAAAGTGGCCGGTGAGTGTATATATATATATACACACACAAAAAATCAATTATAAAAATACAGCATATTTTGCAGACGGCCCTTTCGCACGTTGTCCCTCCTCAACTCAAACATCACAATCACGGCTCTTACAGGTGCTTGTTTACCATGTCTCAACAGGTAAATATAGACTACTATGAATAAAAGGTCAAACAAATTAAAGGGCCGTTTACACAGAACACATTTTTCCATTCCAATGCGCTACTTTTCCATGTATTTCCATGTTTTTCAGTGTAAACAGACGTGTATAACCGTTGCACTCGCGTCTTTAGCAGCGTCTCGCGCATGACCTGGCATTCGAAAATCACGGCGCTCAACGTAAAAGTTCAACTTTTAAAAAAATGTCTCGAGACCTTGCGTTTTCCCCCGTTCCACTGTCTGCGTCTCACGTTTTTCCAAAGCAAATACACATTCTGTGTGAATGGCCCCTAAGAATACTTTTAGCTGTGTTGCTATGTGTCATGAGCCTAAGAAAATGAGTAGCTAACACTGTATATATGTATATATACACATAGATTGTCGCTTAATCAATTGGTCGATTAATTGCCTTAATGCAATATGGTCTACTGCAGTGGCATATAGCCAACAGCATGACAGGGTTTGCAAATGTTTCTCACCAAATGAATGAGAATGGTTTTTAATCTAAATAAAGGGTTAGTAGGATTGTAAAAGGAGTAGATGTGATTGATCATTTATTAAATGACTTATTTAATAATCAAATATAACGACTAATATAACGTGTCACTCAGATGCATGCTATTCAGAATGTGTAACTCCTGTTGTGGACGCGCTCTTCCTGTAACAACACGGCAACTAAACCCAATAAATGACCAACGTTTTACTACAATATTATTCTCTTTATAATGTTATGTAATATGACAGTCATTTAGTCGCTGTTTTAGTGGCATGTGCTGAAAATGATCACCGGCACACTTTATACAGCGTTAATTCTTACCCAAATGCATCCTATGTGAAATAAATCAGATAGTCCTACACAAAATAAACCCCATATTACAACTTACATTTGCACAAAACTAAATTCTGCAAATGCACACGCAAACTTATAGTCATGAAGGTGTAACTCAAGCCTTTTAACGTAAAATGGTCACAAACATAACTCCGGCACGCTAGCTTCATTTTTCCTCGTGTCTGCTTTACGTGTTTTACGGTTGAGCAGAGCGCATGACCTTGCTTAATCGATGATTGATAAGTTTTATCGATTAAGTTGTTATCGACAAGTTATTATCGCCGATTAATCGTTAGCATCCCGAATATACACATACTTCCTTTATTATATAAAATAATAAATAAATGTGTGCAGATATATATATATATATATTAGTGGTGTCAAACGATTAAAATATTTAATCGCGATTAATCGCATTAATGTCATAGTTAACTCGCGATTAATCGCATTAAATGTCATAGTTAACTCGCGATTAATCTACATTTTTCGCACATTCTAAATGTCTCTTGATTTCGTTTTGTCCCATTATTTTTTCTCATTTTAATGCTCTTATCAACATGGAAAAGTGGATCGGCTTGCTTTGTGCAAATGTTTTTTATTGAAAACAACATTGGCATATACTGTGTTCAATTTCACACTAACATTCTCACTTGGAGCAAATAATCTCTCACACAATGTAACACTGTCCATCAATAAAAGGGTGAAAGAAATACTGACGAGGTCCTGATATTGATGAGGGGGCGGAGAATTCGCATCAGCTGTGTGTGTGTGTGTGTGCTTGGCCATCATCAAGTGGTGTTTCAGACTGGACGTGCTGCGATGATGATAGCTCAGTTCACAACGACAAAACACACAGATCACTCTGGTCTTGTCAATGGA